GTGTCATGGTCCCTGTAAGGCTCCATAATTGCTGCGTCTCCATCGTCACACTCGCATGTGCCTCTTTCAGGTCTCCTCACAGTTCTGCTTGTGGGTTCCATTTTGTCATAGGGGCTGGCAGCTATTACGGCCTCCCATTGCTTGCTGCCAGGCCCGTAATCTGTCATGGCCCCCGTACCGCCTCCTCATGCACTGCTGCCATGACCAGAGTGTGTCATGGGTCACCCTGTATGAGGACCTCCCATTGCGTGCTGTATTCCATCACCCACACCTCTGCCTAGTGGGCCACCTAATTCCAGGTCTCCATCACCAACTGCTTGGGGTGGGTTCCATTTTGTCATAGGGTTGCTGCGCAGATAAAGGGCCTAACCATAATGCTTGCTGCCAGGCCAGTAATCTGTCAATGGGCCCCTGCAGCCGGCCAATCCTCATGCTGCGCTGCCAAGGTCCAGAGTGTGTCATGGGTCCCTTTACGGCCTCTCATTGCTGCAATTGTCTCCATCGCCACACTCTGCCATGTGCCACTTTCAGGTCTCCTCACACTGCCTGGTGGGTTCCATTTTGTCATAGGGTGCTGGCAGATTACGGGCCTCCCATTGCTGCTGCCAGGCCCGTAATCTGCCATGGGCCCCCGTACCGACTCCTCATGCTGCTGCCAGGTCCGTAATCTGTCATGGGCCCCTGTAGCCCCCCGCCTCCTCATGCTGCTGCTACGGCCACAGTCCAGAGTGTGTCCATGGGTCCCTGTACGGGCATTTTCCCATTGCTGCTGTCCTTCATCTGCCACACTCTGCCATGTGCCACTTTCAGGTCTCCTCACACTGCTGGTGGGTTCCATTTTGTCATAGGTGCTGTAGCAGGAATTACGGGCCTGTCTCCATTGCTGCTGCCAGGGTGGCCCGTAATCTGCCATGGTGGGTACCCCCGTACCAGACTCCTCCATGCTGCTGCCAGGCCCGTAATCTTGTCATGGGCCCCTGTACCGCCTCCTCATTTAGCTGCTAGCCAGGTCCAGAGTGTGTCATGGGTCCCTGTACGGCCTCCCATTGCTGCTGTCTCCATCGCCACACCTCTGCCATGTGCCACTTTCAGGTCTCCTCACACTGCTGGTGGTTTCCAATTTGTCATAGGGTGCTGGCAGATTACGGGCCTCGATGGCCATTGCTGCTGCGCCAGGCCCGTAATCTGTCCATGGGCCCCTGTACCGCCTCCTCATGCTGCTGCCCAGGTCCAGAGTGTGTCATGGGTCCCTGTACGGCCTCCCATTGCTGCTGTCTCCATCGCCACACCGTAAGGCTCACTCTGCCATGTGCCACTTTCAGGTCTCCTCACACTGCTGGTGGGATCCATTTTGTCATAGGGTGCTGGCAGATTACGGGCCTCCCATTGCTGCTGCCAGGCCCGTAATCTGTCATGGGCCCCTGTACCGCCTCCTCATGCTGCTGCCAGGCCCCTTATACCATAATAAAGTCCCTTCCCTCACGGGAGTGTGTCATGGGTCCCCTGTACGGCCTCCCATTGCTGCTGTCTCCATCGCCATAACCTCTGCCATGTGCCACTTTCAGGTCTCCTCACACTGCTGGTGGATTCCATTTTGTCATAGGGTGCTGGCAGATTACGGGCCTCCCATTGCTGCTGCCAGGGGCCCGTAATCTGTCATGTCCATGGGGGCCCCTGTATTTGCCGCCTTCCTCATGCTGCTGCCAGTCCAGAGTGTGTCATGGGTCCCTGTACGGCCATCCATCTGCTGCTGTCTCCATCGCCACTCTCTGCCATGTGCCACTTTCAGGTCTCCTCACACTGCTGGTGGGTTTCCATTTTGTCATAGGGTGCTGGCAGATTACGGGCTCCCATTGCTGCTGCTGCCAGGCCCCGTAATCTGTCATGGGTCCCCTGTACCGCCTCCTCATGCTGCTGCTGCCAGGTCCAGAGTGTGTCATGGGTCCCTGTACGGCCTCCCATTGCTGCTGTCTCCATCGCCACACTCTGCCATGTGCCACTTTCAGGTCTCCTCACACTGCTGGTGGGTTCCATTTTGTCATATGGTGCTGGCAGATTTACGGGGCCTCCCATTGCTGCTAGAGCCAGGCCCGTAATCTGTCATGGGCCCCCGTACCCAACCCGCCTCCTCATGCTGCTGCCAGGTCCAGAGTGGTGTCATGGGTCCCTGTACGGCCTCCCATTGCTGCTGTCTCCATCGCCACACTCTGCCATGTGCCACTTTCAGGTCTCCTCACACTGCTGGTGGGTTCCATTTTGTCATAGGGTGCTGGCAGATTACGGCCCTCCCATTGCTGCTGCCAGGCCCGTAATCTGCCATGGGCCCCCGTAACCGACTCCTCATGCTGTGACGTTGCAACAAGGTGAATTCAACCCTACATATTGTTAGACCGCCTGTTACGAACAGCGAAAGGCCATCACCGATTTCCTGATGTTACAAGCGGATAAAGGTACTCCCCTGTGTAACTTAGATGTCAGCCATTGGCCAGCTCATGCGTGACACCCTGCCGCTTGCTCAGGCCCTTTGAGGAGGCCACGCTATTCGTGAGTCGGCAGGACTATGGGATGAACGACGTCCATTCCTCTGTTGCACGTCCTGGAACAAATGCTGTTAACAATGGCTGGTCAGGGTGCGGTAGACGTGGCGCACAGATCTCAACGCACACATGACCCCTGTGGGGGCAGGACAGGAAGAAGAGGAGGATGTAGAGGAGGACATTGGTGCTCAGGAATTATTGTAGTGAAATGGGTGGTTTTTCCACTCAGCTGGGGGACAGAGTGGAGGAGGCAGGAGCATCTGGTAGAGGGTAGGAGGAGGGAGGAGACAGAGGACTCAGACGCACCTGGGCAGTATGCTGTGGAGGATGGAGGCAGGGAGTCCCTCGCATTCCTTGGCACAAAATGGCCCATAGCCTTGCTCGGTTGCTTGCGTAGCGGGACAGCCGAATAATAACCATCAGACAGAGGGATGACTTTTGGCTGTCCACCTTGTTGGACCCCTCGCTACCGTTCAAAAATGGTGGCCTTTTTCACACCTGCTGAGAGGGAGGCCAAAAAAAACGTACTATAAAAACCAAAACTATGTAGTCAGTTGGTCTCTGCCTGTTCTGCGCCAACGTCCATCCTCAGGAGGACACTGTTGGGCCCTGTGCGCTCGTCGCGTTTCCGCTGCCCATGGCAGCAGGGGGGGGTGGGGGGGGTAGGAGCATGGCAGCCCCCACCAGCAGCGGCTGCCAATCAGTCTGCAGTCCGACTCCTGACAGAGTAGCTTTCTTCACCAGCGCAGTGAGGAAACTCCTAACCTTCTGTTTACAGCAGCAGCAGCATCAGGAGTGACCTGGAGCAGGACCTCAAACAACAGGCTTGGGCCATACTTTGGACAGCACCCTGCCCAAACCGAGGTAGACAATCCCCTTTGACTACTGGCAACGAAAGCTTGACCTTTTGGCCCCAACTAGCTTGGAAATTTTGCCCTTGAAAGGCTGTCATGCCCGGCCAGTACGTGCATATGAGCGCGTGTTATTTTATTGCGGCAGGAGGTATTGTAACTCCGCGAGAGGGACATGGACTGTCCACCCAAAGTGTGAGAGACTCCGTTTGTGAAAATGAATCAGGCGTGGCATAGTACTGGATTTCACACTCCACCAGTTCCTGACACAACTTTGACTAAATCCGCCAATGAATCATGCCCAAACCATGTTATTATTTTCGATGAACATGGGCCTCTGTATGGCCTTCATTTAAGCTGCTTACGCTTCGCCACTCTGCCATCGGGCCCCTGTTCACCGCTCCTCTTAGCTGCTGGTGAGCCAGGTCCAGAGTGTGTCATGGGTCCCTGTACGGCCTCCCATTGCTGCTGTCTCCATCGCCACACTCTGCCATGTGCCACTTTTCAGGTCTCCTCACACTGCTGGTGGGTTTCCATTTTGTCATAGGGTGCTGGCAGATTACGGGCCTCCATTGCTGCTTGCCAGGCCCGTATCTGCCATGGGGTACCGCCTCTCATGCTGCTAGCCAGGCCCGTAATCTGTCATGGGGCCCCTGTACCCCATCCTCATGCTGCCAGGTGTCCAGAGTGTGTCATAGGGGTCCCTGTACGGGCCTCCCATTGCTGCTGCCATAGCCCTAATCTGCCATGGCCCCCGTCTCCGACACTGCTCCTCATATGCTGCTTGCCAGGCCCGTAATCTGTCTATGGGCCCCTGTACCGCCTCCTCATGCTGCTGCCAGGTCCAGAGTGAGTCATGGGTCCCTGTAAACGGGCCTCCCATTGCTGCTGTCTCCATCGGGCCACACTCTGCCATGTGCCACTTTCAGGTCTCCTCACACTGCTGGTGGGTTCCAATTTTGTCATAGGATGTGCTGGCAGATTACGGGCATCTCCCATTATGCTGCAGAGGTAGTGCCCGTAATCTGCCATGGGCCCCGTACCGACTCCTCATGCTGCTGCCAGGGGGGGGAATCTGGTCATGGGCCCCTGTACGGCGCCACCCTCCTCATTGCTGCTGCCAGGCCCGGCCATGGGCCCCTGTAGGAGCTGCCTAAGTCCTCATGGGTCCCCTATACATACATGATGTGCCTCCCATTGCTGCTGTCTCCATCGCCACACTCGCTGCCATGTGCCACTTTCAGGTCCTCCTCACACTGCCAATGGTGGGTTCCATTTTGTCATAGGGTTCTGGCAGAATTACGGGCCTCCCATTGCTGCTGCCAGGCCCTCTAATCTGCCATGGGCCCCCCGTACCGACTCCTCATGCTGCTGCCAGGCCCGTAATCTGTCATGGGCCCCTTGTACCGAGCCCTCTCCTCATGCTGCTGCCAGGTCCAGAGTGTGTCAGGGTCCCTGTAGAGGAATCCTATCCATTGCTGATGACGCCATGGGTGGGTCCGTTTCTGCCATAGGGTGCTGGCACCGATTACGGGCCTCCTCATTGCTGCTGCCAGGCACCCGTAATCTGTCATGGGCCCCTGTACCGCAAACTCCTCATGCTGCTAGCCAGGTCCCAGTAGTGTGTCATGGGTCCCTGTACGGGCCCTCCCATTGCTGCTCTCATCCATCGCCACACTCTGCCATGTGCCACTTTCAGGTCTCCTCACACTGCTGGTGGGATTCCATTTTTGTCATAGGGTGCTGGCAGATTACGGGCCTCCCATTGGCTGCTGCAGGCCCCGTAAATCTTCCATGGGCCCCTGTACCAGCCTCTCCTCACGCTGGCTGCCAGTTTCCTTATAAGTCTCTCATGGGCCCCGTCCCTTTAACGGCCTCCTCATTGCTACTTGCCAGGTCCAGAGTGTGTTCCATGGGTCCACTGTACGGCATCCCACAGCTGCTGGTCTGGCCAGTAAATTTCCACATTCAGGCCCACCCGGACTGCTTCATGCTGCTTCCTATTGCCATTTTTTTGTCATAGGGTGCTGTCAGATGGGCCGTACTCTCTGCGTACTGGGCCTCCCTCATATGCAGCTCCCCCGCAACAGCCAGATTATCCCGTAATCTGTCATGGGAGCCCTCTCTACCCTCGTAACTTACAGCGATGGGCCCGGCCATCCTCATGCTGCAGGCCAGGTCTAGAGTGTCTTGTCATGTGGGTCCCTTTAATAACGTCGCCCTTCGCCCAGTTTGCTTGCTTGGTCGTTATCCATCCGCCACAACACTCTGCCATGTGCTAACTTTCAGGTCTCCTCACACTGCTGGTGGGTTTTCCCCCTTTTTCAAAGGGTGCTTGGGAGATTACGGGGGCCCCCCAATTGCTGCCCAGGGCCCCTAATCGCCATGGGGCCCCCCGAATTTTTTTTTTGGGAAAAAATCCTTTTTTTTTAAAAAACTTTTTTTCTTTTTTTTGCCCCCCGGCCCCCCCCCAAAAATTTTCCCCTTGGCCCCTTGAAAAAAACCCTAACCCCCCTCCTCCCCCTGTCTTGGGCCCCGGCCGGGGGCCCCCCCCGGGAAGGTTTCCCAATTTTAGTCATGGGCCCTTACGGCCCTCCCAATTTCCGGGGCCAGGCCCGTAATCGCCATGGGCCCCCCCGTAAACCCCCCCCCCTCTTGCCGTGCCAAAGGGCCAATTTTGTCATGGTCCCCCCCCGTAACCCCCTCCCATTGCTGCTGGGCCCCCCATCGCCACACCGCCATTTGCCACTTTTCCCGGTCTCCCCCACACTTTCTGGGGGGTTTCCCCTTTTTTCCCTAGGGTGCTGGCAGATTACGGGCCCCCATTTTTTTGCTGCCATGGGCCCCCCAAACGCCATGGGCCCCCCTACCGGGCTTTCCCCATCTTCGGGCCCGGGGCCCAATCTTTCATGGGGGCCCCCGTACCGGGCCCCCTCAAGCGCTTTCCAGGTCCCGAGTGTGGGCTGGGTCCCTGTTTCGGCCTCCCATTGCTGCGTCTCCTCGCCCCACTCGCCAGTGCCACTTTTAGGGCTCTTTACCCCTGCTGGGGGTTTTTATTTTGTCATAGGGTGCTGTATGGGGGCCCCCCATTTGCGCGGGCCTCCCACCGCCACACTTGGGCTTCCACACCCCTGGTTTTGGCCC